GGAAGATTGAAAAAATTGGGTTTGTTTAGTCTGGAAAAGAGAAGACTGAGGCTACATCTACACTACGGGGGGGGGTGGGTGTCGATTTAAGATACGCAAATTCAGCTACGCGAATAGCGTAGCTGAATTCGACGTATCGCAGCCAATTTACCCCGCTGTGAGGACGGCGGCAAAATCGACCTCTGCGACTTCCCGTCGACGGCGCTTACTCCCACCTCCGCTGGTGAAGTAAGAGCGTCGATTCGGGGATCGATTGTCGCGTCCCATAAATCGATCCCCGAGAGGTCGATTTCTACCCGCCGATTCAGACGGGTAGTGTAGACCCAGCCTGAGAGGGGACACGATAACAGTTTTCAAGTATGTAAAAGGTTGTTACAAGGATGAGGAAGAAAAATTGTTTTTCTTAACCTCTGAGGTAAGGACAAGAAGCAATGGGCTTAAATTGCAGCAAGGGAGGTTTAGGTTGGACATTAGGAAAAACTGTCAGGGTGGTTAAACACTGGAATAAATTGCCTAGGGAGGTTGTGAAATCTCCATCATTGGAAACTTTTAAGAGCAGGTTAGACAAACACCTGTCAGGAATGGTCTAGATAATTAGTCCTGCCATGAGTGCAGGGGACGGGATTAGATGACCTCTCGAGGTCTCTTCCAGTTCTATGATTGTTCAGCCATGACGCCACATCATCAGATAAGGATACAAGACTGAAGTTTTAACTGATCCTCGTGCATCCGTGAATATGATGGACAAAGTGTGTCTAAAGCCATATCACAGAAACCATTTTTACAACTGACAGCAGCAAAAGTATGTGCCTATGGAAATCCAGATGCACTGATAATTGGTGGTGTATTCTCAGCTTATTTTGATTTAAGATAGGTCTGTTACCAGTTCAGTGTACCTGGTGACTAATGTCAGAGATACACTGATTAGTTATGCCACAGCAAGTGCACGAGGACCGATTCAGATGATCCAAATGGTGCAGCCTAACAGGCTAAATTAACTCCTCCAGTCTTATAAGGATATGCTCAAATGAATAGGAAATTTGAAGGGAAAGCAAATGAAAATTACACTTTGATGACATGGTTCAGCTCACATCTCTACCATACAGATGTATTATTTTCCATGTCAGAAAGCTAATGGAAGAAGAATTAGCACACCTAGAAGATCTTGACATCCGTGAGCAAGTGGAAGGCCCCACAGCAGGGGTCTTCCCTATAGTAGTGGCCCAGAAACCAAAGCGACCAGGCAAAATCTGAATTTGTGTGGACATGTGTTTACTCAATTGAGCTATCAAGCAAGAGTGACACATCACCCACACTGTAGGTGACACTATTGCAGATCTGAAGGGAGCAACTTGAGCTCCACCCTGAGTCAAGGTACATAACAACCTTCATGACACACGTGGGTCTACACCGCTATAATTGATTCAGTTTTGGCATTTCTTCAGCTGCAGAAATATTTCAAAACACCATATGTGAGGTACTAGCTGGAATCTCTGGAGTTCTTAACGTGAGTGATGACATTAGTATTTGGCACTGCATCTGAAGAGCACGACACTCAACTAGCAGCTGTTTTTGAATGACTGCAGGAGCAGAATTTCATGTTAAACCCAGATAAATGTGAGTACAATAAACCCACATTTTAATTTTTGGATATACAATCTCCAAAGATGGCATCTCAGTGGATCCCAAGAAAGTGAAGGACATTCCTCATGCCACAGTGCCAGAAACCCCACTGAAGTTCATAGCCTGCTAGAGCTTGCAAATTACTGTGGCAGATTCATTCCAAGCTTCGCAACTATTGCGCAGCTTCTGAGAGATTTAACCAGGAAAGATCAAATATGGGTTTGATCAGATGAACATCAAAATGTTATTTGAGAAATTAATGAAATCCCTTACGTGTGATATAGTCGTGTCATATTTTTATTCCACAAAAAGAACTGAACTTTTAGTAGATGCCAGATCTGTTGGATTAGGAGCAGTCCTCCAGGTTGACCAATGTAGTCAAATTTACACCATTGCTTATGCCAGCATGGCTCTTTCACTCTTTGAACAATAGTACTCTCTAACAGAAAGAGAAGTTCTTGCTGTAGCATGGGGATGTTCCCGTTATCATTTAGACATTTATGCTGCATGCTGTGTTCCCACAGACTTAAACCAGTGATCTGTAGAATCTTACTTTAAAACTACATACAGCATCTACGCAATTCATTCCAGAAGCTCCTAATCAGTCAGGACACAACACCAACCTTACCAATTCTTCCTGAGTGCACAGCTAATCCTTGAAGAAGGCAATACCCAAACACCAGAAAAGCTACTTGGCATTATTAATATTCCAATGCAGTTGCTTTGATTAGTTTGGCAGATGTTGCTTTATGTTTGATTTGAACTGGACCCATATTTTTTCACTATATAAAAACCAGCTCAGTCTTGTGTTGTTAATGGATAGACTGCAGTACGGGACTCATAAGAGACTTTATTTACATTTCTAGCTGAACAACGTATTTTAGATACCTTTAATGGGAAGAATTGATTTTTCTCTCTACAAAAGGGACTTAATCAATTTTGCTTCTGGAAATGTTTTATTCAACAATAGCCGAGTTTCCTTGTGTACAAATCCATCAAAGCAGAGACTTATTAGTACAGAGAAGTTTTATGTGCTCAGGTAAAAATGCAGGTTTTACTATTGGAATGGAAGCTGATTGATTTTTTGAAATATTAAAAGAGTTTATCATAATACAAACGAAAAACTTAATCACAAGTTCACTGCAAGCTTTAGCTAGACATGATTTGTAGAGTCCTGCAAATCTGCAGACCATGTTTGCAGATCGTGGATCGGATGCGGATACAAATTTTGTATCCGCGCAGGGCTCTAATGATTTGGGCTGATTTTGCTAGGAAGTGTTTGCTGCTGCACGTGTCTGAAAACTGAAGACTTTAATAAAAATTGCAAATATTTGCAGTTCTTCTTCAATTCAGGTGTTTTAGGGGCATCTTATGATACCCTTTTTCATAGACTACCAGAGTAGTACTGGGAGGCCTGGATTCTATTCCTGACTCAGTCACTGGCCTACTTGGTGACCATTGGCAAATCACTTCACCTTTCTGTGCCTCATTTTCCCCATCTATATAATAGGAATAATGATATTTGCTTCCTTTGTAAAGCATTTTGAGATCTACTGGTGAAAAGTGCTCTATAAAAGCTAGGAGTAACTATTTATGCTACCCCGATATTTATGCTGCTTCCTGAGTAGTCCCCTACATTCCAATGGAAGTACTCACAGAGTAAAGTACTACTCATTGTAACGGTGGCAGAAACTGGACCATAGACTCTGGAAAATACTTTGGGTCAGATTGCAATTCCCTTACTCAGTTTGGTGAGCAATTTATCAAATGTGTAGCCCAGCCAATTTCAGTTCAGTGGAACTGCTCAGAATACTCATGCTGAGTAGCATCTTTAAAGGTGGAAGAATCTTCCCAGAAGTGAGCAGAAAATTATATGCACCTTTGCAGATTCACGGTATTAAAAATTTTAGTTGTATTTTTCCAATCGTCACATTGAAAATCTAATAAAAATGTGCATTATTTGACTGTGTCCAGAAAACAAGTATCACATTTATATATTTGTAAAAAAAAAAAACCAACCAGATTCTTTTCAAAGACAAGACTTCTGTCTTGCCTTTTTTTTATTAAAAGGATGCAAATTAATAACATCCACTGTTTCAGACAGGAATAAGAGATGGCTCACGTCACTGCAGTCTGCAGTGTTTCCGACCTTGGAGCACTTATGCCCAGAAAATAAAGAGTTCCATTTAATAGCATGCATTATGAGAAGTCCTTCAAATATAAAAAGGAGACCAGAGTTAGATGAACAGCCCTTTAAGAGCAGTAGAAGTGAACTTAGTATTTGTTTCTCGCTAAAAAGCTTTCTAGGTCTTTAAGCTGATGGATTGTCATCTATAAATACACCGACTTCCTTAACGCTTAATTGCCATGGGATGTACAAAATGGGGCAAATGTAACCCTAGTGCCATTCTCCTGAGGTCAGAGTTACACCAGGGATTAGTGTTATGGTGTCTATTGCAGTAGTAGCCAGGAACCCCAGTCAAGGACCACGGCCCAATCATTTTATGAGATTGATAGGTGTGAACTCAGCCTTCAACTAATGTAACTGTAAGGATAAATACCTACCCGATAAAGGATAAACAAAACCCGAACCCACCCAATACTGGAGCTTTTGCTGAGTATTGTTTTGGGTAGGTGGGGACGGGGGGGGGAATGGAGGTGCAGAACATACAAAAACTGGGAGAATCATAGCTCGAAGGAGCAGCTGAAAGCACAGTGTCTAGAAGAAACCTGGGGAAAGGTTTTCGGGTCAAGAGTGCAGGCTGATAAGAGTGTTCTTGGGGCTGTGAGCAAAAGAAGCTGTTTGCTGCTATTTGATTCCTTCTTCATTCAGAGAAACAGGACTTTGCATTCTTTGTAAGTAAATTAAACTACACCAAAGAATTATTTATCACCAATTTCTACTCCCAACTGGAATATCCTCAGGGTTCCAAACTTTGACTAACCACTTGGATGAAAAAGGGGAAACAATACAAACAAGTAACAAAGACAGTCCCTGCTCCAATTTGAATCTAAATCAAGAAGTGGCACTCCTATTTGTTTTTTTGGTAGAGGAAAAGCTGCAGGTTAGGGCCCTACAATCATGCCTGGGCAAGCCATACAAATTATTGGAAGCAATGTTACAAGGCATGACCCATGTTACATGTCAGTGTGCTTCTGTTTGTGCTGGGCTTAAGTGTCTTTTGCTTCCAGTGAAATCACGGACATAACTCCCATTGACTTGAGTAGTATGGGGATCATGCATTAAATAGAGGTGTGAAGGAAGAATGTTACTGAAAATAATCCTTTTAACCAGATGTGTTTGGCAGCATGGAGAGAAAACAACACTATTATATGCAGTTTCAGCAAAGGGAAGAAACCACAGCAAAGACAAAAAATTAATGTTACAATTTTTTTTATTTTACAGCTGTACAGAACACTATTACTATTATAATAAGGCATCAGATGCACTACTGAATAGCTCACAATAACTGTAACATTGTCTTTAGCAGTTCAAAATGCAGATTTACAAAATTAAATCAGTTACTTTCCTGTTTGGTAAACACTGGTTATTACAGACAGTTTTTTAAAAGGGATTATCAAGATTAAAAACGGTAAACATATTAAAAACAGCAACAACCCAACAGAGATTCCTAGGAGAGATTTTAAAATTAATTCTTCTGTCTGTAGAGGATGGCAGTGAGACAGTAAAGCTGGTTGTCTGTGGAAAAACAGATAGGGTTACCAAAACTTACAATGGAACTAAGGATCATTTTGTGTTAGTCCTTTCTTTGGTGATAGTCTAAGGGGTGGAGGGAAGAGGGGTTATTCAGTTTCCAAATGTTTAGTATTAGTTACAAGTCTGTAACTGATGGGCTAAAAAACCATCAAGAGACTTTTTTAATGGCCATTTAATGTTTTAATGAGTTCTGTGTTAATCACCTTTTAGACTTTCAGGGTTAGATCGTGGTCTGGACCACACACACCCACGCAGGGAACTAAGGGAAAGAAAGAATTCCTTAATGCCTTAAACAGGCTACTTGGATCTGGGCATGCAGGAGTAAGCAGGTAGGTGGGGAGTAACTTGGAGTAGGCAGAGTCTTGGCTCCACTCCGCAGCTGGCCAGCGCAGCTGAGGTGTCACGAGGTGAAGCTGGAGAGCAGGCATCATAATTTCTTGCTGGTATAGGCCAGGAGTGAATTATTACCCTCTTAGGGCATGTCCATACTACATCTGGGTGGTGACTGCTGGACATACTATACAAGCTCACCCGGGACCCTGGATACGTATTCAGGCGTCGAGCCCACAATGAAGTCTGTGCTGACATGGCTTCTCTTCTGTTGGTATCAGAGATAGCTAAATTAAAGCTAGCTCAAGTATGCTTACGTACGCTGCAGTCACACCTCTAACTGCAAGGTCGACGTACCCTTAGAGTGAGGAGGCAGCAAGGAGGGTACTGTCTGAGTCCAATCCTTCCCAAATTTACCAATACCCTTTGCTCAGGCCTGCACCTAAGATCCAGCCCTAACCAATTTGGCCCTCAGGAAAAGTGCCAGATTTACATTCCTGAAGAATGAAGTTTTCTGTCAATCCCTACATTAGGTACAGCACGGGCAACAAGAGAGCAAGCTTCCCCCATGCTGCTTCATCAATGTGCTTCAAATCAGACCAGGAGAAATCCCTTCTGTCTGTAATGAGGTGGTAATCCAATCCTTGGACCCTCTGCTGAGTCTGCCTGCAAGGGTGCCAATTGTGGTGGCTATTTTTGTGATGCGAGCATTTGTCTACTGGGAACCGTTGGGTCACTACCATACTGTACTGTACTAGAACTAGAGATCTAGAAGTGACAGGCTTCATTTATATCATCACCAACCCCCTCCAGCCTATCTACTCTCAAAATATCTCAATATGGGGTCATGGGAAAGTCTGGATAGTTTTGTTTCCTACCTCCCCCTGCATTTCCTTCTCTGGAAGCCTCCCCTCCCCTTTATACAGTAACACTAAAGCAAAAAAACCACATGGGTTATATTATTTATATTTTCAGATTTCTCCCAATTGCGCGGCGCATACCGAGACCATTTTGTTGGCTTCTCTTTGCCTAAAACATTCATGGAAAACCTGTGGGTTCATTTTAAAATAATTCACTCATGATCTGTGAAATGCTTTTACAAAGTGTCAGAAAACGTCTCACTTAATAATATGCTGACAGTAAAGGGAGTGTTTTCTTTTCTAGTGCTAATAATCTGCAATAAGGCCTGCCATGGTTCTTACAAAAATGTGTGATCTTTACAGCCTCAAAAATTGCTGATCTTTTTCAGATCCTTCTGCCGTTATAATATGCACTCCAAGTTTACACATATGTATAGTTAACAAATAAATTTAAAAATATCCATCCAAGCTCAAAATTTACAGCTTCCGTTTTAGACTTTTTAACTGTAAGATTGAAAAGTCAGAGTGCAGCACTTCCAGTTGGACTCCTCTCCAGTCTAAGGGCTCTCATCAGACTCATCAGTGTGACATGCTATATTGGCTAGCATCAATGGGCAAAACAGGCTTCTTCACCCTATCAACATCTATGGACAAACAACAGTAGAAGAAATCTGGTTAGGCTCTGCCTGCTCAGGCTTCTCAATAAGGGCCACATCATGTCCTCAGAAGCTCACTCAGCAGCATAAGGGGGAGTAGTAATTCTCCACCCATCATCCCTGTGAGGCTTCACTGGTCCTCGGGTCTGGACATGTAGGGGTAAGTGAGCCCTGTGGGCCCACACTACTCCCATGGCAATCCCTAAGCAGCAGGGCCGGGGCGGACAGAACGCCACACCTCCAACTATCACTGTGAGTCAGCACCGTTTGGGTAGTTATCTGCTACTAGTATGGGTTATTGCAGATTGGAGCAAGAGGTGGGCAGGGGAAGAATCCTCCTTCTATGTCTTATAATTCTCAGTGACTCCGTTTACCATTCTGCCCGATTCCAATGGGCCAAAACAGCTTCTACCTCCATGTAAGGAGAGTTATTTTTGATTTTAGAAAATTAATCCTGATAAGAACTGGATTAATGATGGCACATCCACATGGCTGTAGGAATGCAAGCTCCTCAAACACACACACTCCTCCCTTCGTGCATTCGTTACAATTGCTCTGATAAGTGCCAAGCAATGAACGAGGGATAAGTCTACACTGCATGCTAAGTCTGGGTCTGTGGGACATAAGCTTGTTGACTCAGTGTTTCCAAGCCCATATTTGAGAATCCAAGCTACATTGTAAACCTGGATTTACAGTTGTTAGACTGGGTCTCAGAGCCGTTCTAATGCATCCAGCCAGCACTACGCAGATCTTCTGACTCAGGCTTGACATGTGTCCACACTGCAAAATAACAGGACTTGGACCCGAGTCACAGTGGGACTTGGGCGCTCACCCACCTCCTACCAGGGTCCTAGGACTGGTGTCCTGAGTACTTGCTGACCCAAGCCAGACAGATTTGGGTGGAAGGACTTGGGCTCAACCCTGAGTCAGAGCCTGGGCTTAGTGTGCAGTGTAGACAAACCTTAGAAAGGCAGTCTGCATGGCTTGAGACTTGAAATGCCACCTCTCTACAGGGCCAACATTAAAACACCGGTACAACATGACATTCCTTACAGATATGCAATATGCAAACAGTGGAAGATAGGAATGTGTTCTAATCCTTCTGGGTGCTACATCAGTGGACACCTTGGAAATTCAAATAGATTCCTTAGGCTGTCCAAATCTATTAGCTGCATAAATGCTGCCCCATTTTTATGAGGGGAATCCCAGAGCAAGCACATAGGACTATCTGAACCACAAAGGAGTGAATGCCCAACACAAGTCCGGCATTTGTCTTATGAAGTAATCAGCCAGATGGAAAGGCATAATAGGCCAGCTGACAATAGGTTATTCAGTGTTTTCCCTCATTATGCCCTCCCAATACCCACCAAAATAGAGGTGCAAAGGAACAGATTTGCATACCTTTCATATTGAATTAAACCTCCCTCCAATCACATGGGACAGAATTAAAAGAAAGACCATAGAAGACAAGCTGATCCCCAGACATACTTATTCAGAGCCTGAGAAGGCCCATTAGCAGAGCACAGTTCAAGTGTATTATCCCCCTTTCCTGCTTTGAGTCACAAACTGTTGTCAATCTGCTTATAAGAGCACCTTGTGTTTCAAAGCAGATATTTACTTTGAACATGCTCTGCAAAGACAGTGTGGGTTACTCTCCATGTGAGAGCAAAGGGGTGCATTCATAATCTTCACTAGTTATGCAAGACTGAGAATTGACAGCCTGTTGGCCAGACTCCGAGGTGACAATGTAAAATCTTAGACTCCAGAATCAGACAAGGAGGAGCTGATTCTCTGTTACCCTGAACCTGTGGAGGACAGACTGAGTGGTTTAGTGAACAGCATGCTGGAATGGACTTAGGAGACCAGCATTCAATTTCCAGCCCTGTCCCTGCTTTTCTGGGTGACCTTGAGCAAATCATGTCAACGCCCCGTGCCTCAGTTTCCCCATCTGTAAAATAGGGATAATGATATTGCCCTCCTCTGTAAAGCACACTAAGATCTAGGGAGGAAGAGCTCTATAAGAGCTAGGTATTATTACAGACATTTACACCAGTGCAAAAATCACAAAGTGCAAGGCAATGGAGAATCAGGCCCAAGACAAGAACTATAGCACTCAGAGTGTTGCCAGCTCTCTGGTTATTTTGTCAGGAGTCTCAAGCTATTTGGTGTTTTTCTTACAGCCCTAGCTCCTGGAGTCAAGTGTTTTCATGAGAATCTCCACTTTCACTCAAAAAAGAAAGTAAGTTTCTGTTCCTCATGTCTGCGGAGAGAAGCTTTTAAAATGTGATTTGAAAGCACCCTAAAGGATCAAATCCTAGAAGGCAAATAAAATCCCTCAAATATTTAAAATAAAATCCTCAATTTTTAAACCAATTTCATGATTTTTTTTTGGGGGGGGGGGAGGAAGAGGGCTGATTCATGATTTTTTAATGCTTGGGGCAGGCAATACTGTGGCACTCAAGCTATGAATGTCTATTAAAACTGCAAGGCCAAAATGTCAGGGACAGTGCAAATAGATCCCTTAGCGACTCTTTGGCCAGTGGATCAGCTCATACCTAACCAGTGTATATTAAGAAATCATACTACGGACCAACAACATTTTTCATTTTTTCCTCTCAAAATAAAAGTTACAAAAACACATCTATTTTAGCATTCCATTGAAGATGTTAGACATCCAAGTATATTCCCTCAGCATTTAATCGCTGGCCATTGTGCTACATAGACTTCACTGATAACATCACCTTTCTTTGACCAGCTACTACACTGTATGAAGTCAGTGCCAGGCAGTCTGATTGCTAGGTATCTAACCTTTATTTTCTGACAATTATTTATAGAAGTCTATATTTAAAAAAAAAATCAAGTAGATTGCTGATTGGTGGAGCACAGAACGCTATTGCGCTGACCCATGTAGAATGCAGCCCCCTTTTCTTTTTTCACTGGTTGTGAAAGGTGCAGAGTTGGCAGCCTCAGTGGATTAAAATCTATTTTTCAAGAGAACACAGAGAGCCTCAGCACAAGCACAGCCCTGCAACTTGCTTCAAACCTCTGTTGCAAGAGAGGTTTCCATCTTCATCCTCTTTCAATCTTTGGCTTCTTTGAGACTCCCAACAAGGAGGTCAATTGGTGTCAATTTATGGCAGTTTTTCTACCCCGACATCTGGAACTAGACTTATTTCACAAAGAGCCATCACAAGTTAACTATTCTCAGTCCCTGCCGATCTGGAGTGAAATTGAACTGCTGACGTAGAGGTGAAAGGCCCTTTTTCTCCTATTACCCATGCCCTGAGCTATTCACTCCCCTGCGCCACACCCATACTTCACATTTTTAATAATCATCGCTGATTATACAATTACTTGGAGATAAATTGAATGTTTGTGAATTAAAAGGTGGAGAATTCTAAATTAGACATCTGTGTTTTCAATGAATACATGGTGAACTACTGGTATTTTCTGGGCTTTCATGTCAGGAAAAAAAGGGGTCAGTTTTAAAAAGAAAGTATAAGAGACTGTCACCCTTAATTGCTGGGATTAAATGCAAGATTTGGTCTCTCCCTTAATATATTATCAAGCAGACTGTTAATAATCCTCATGTAGGCTGTAATAATTAACAGCTTTCAAACATGACAGGATGGTAGTGTTTTGTATTGAACTACTAAGAAATTAAATAGGGGGAAATATTTTAAAAACAGGATAAAGGAGATTTGGGGAACCTGGTTATCACAAATTTATTTTTATTCAATGGTTTAAATAAGAAAGTGTCATTGATATTGATTATATTATCCCTAGCAGATTTCCCCTTATAATGCAAACATTCAGTTACAGAGTTTAAGGAAAGACATTTATTGCCAGGCAATTAAACTGCATTACTACCTATCTTTAGCTGAATTTGTTTTCTTTAATAGAACATATTTTCCTGTAGAAATACTGCCTTAAAAATCAGGACCATGCTAATTATCTATAGCAAATGCATCTTCTTCTACTAATGATAACTCTAGTGTATTATCATTTGTGCTGGATTTCATTCTAAAATTGAAAGAACCATACAGCTTTGCAGATTCCTGGGAGGATGCAAATCTATTCCTCCTGTACAGCTCCCCTTTCCACATAGACATCATTAATAAACTGGACAGCACCACACCCCCCAGAGTTAAGAGACACAGCCCAGCGATCACACACCTATCCAAGTGAGCCCCGATTCTAGCGCTCTCATTCTCCAGTCGCTCCATCTCCCTGGCTGCTACAGTGTTAGGATCCACAGTCACATCTCTGGGCACCACATAGGAAATGATAACGAGCAAAATCCCACTAACCAGGAACAAGATGGCACTAATGAACCCATAGTCTATAGATTTCCCTGAACCAGCTTCTGATCCAGTATCATCTTCCTCAGAGATCAGGGAGGTAGGATCATGAGCCCAATCGGGTGCGATCTCTGTAGAGGAGCTATGCTGGGCAGGGGGAATCTGGCAGCAACTCTTCACAGGAGAAGGGGCGTTTCTCGTATGCTCCAGATTGACATTTTCATCCCTATAAGTAAACGATGTCTCCAGTTCCTGGGCACAGCAACAGGCTCTCTTCTTTTCTGCTTCCTCTTCTCCATCCAAGTGAGCTGGCTGGCAGCAGGGCTGGGTGCTGCTTGATGCTGCTGCATGCTGCCAGGAGAAAGAGGGGGTAGGAGTGGAGGAAAGGGGTGCCTGGGTGGGACCTGCTGTGGCTGCCCTTTGTGTAGACTTGCAGTGCCTATCACAGCAGAGAGCTGCCACCGCAGCTGCTGTTCTAGCCCCCATATCGTCCCCATCACTCTGCTGTTCATAGGGAGGGGCTTGAAAACTCCAGTCCACATTGTTGCACAGATCTGATCGCCTACCTTTCTTGGTGAGGTACAGAAGCTCCATACAAGCCATCAGAACTCCTCTCTAGCAAGCCACGGCTTCTAATCTAAGCCATGCTTCAGGAAACTCTGTCAATAATACAATCAAGCGTTATCATAGTACATGAGCTGTTGCCTCAAAGCAATCTTCTATCCTCTAACCAATATTTTGCTAGGGATACAGCTTGTTTCAGTTGCTAAATGATTAAACAAATTCCCTCTGACATGTATTTCTTTTCAGTCTGCAAGGGGAAAAATAAACACATCTCATGATGCATTAAGAAACCAATAGGAAAGTAACAAACATCATACATTATTCTTCCTTTCACAACTGTTCAAGCGGAAAATAGCAAATGCGATTGTTTTAATCAAGCATTTAAAACTGCAATCCTCTTGCAGATCCAAAATCTATTAGGGACTCTAATCAACCTTTGACACCACTATCCAATTAAGGCAATAAGCCATCTAAAATAAAAGGATAATCATAGTTACCACCTATAAAAATGTAAGAGCACAGAGTTATCATTTTATTTATAAAAAGCAAACAACTTTTCTTTTCTTTTCTTTTTTTTAAAAAGGAAGCCTACATTCAAATTCACAGAGTAATTAGAAAGATACAGGCAAATCCCATGTAGCTCAGTAATCCACGATCTATATTCTCTGGTGGAAATCTGATAATCCCAGGGGGAAAGCAGTGCTTTCCTATAGCAGATCTCCAGTTTGATTAAGAGCATTTGGAATGAAATTATGCCTCAAAGACTGATGACTCAAAGACGGATGTTACTTCTCCATCTACAATTAATTAATTACAAAAAGAAAAAAAACTTGAAGCCAAATGCCTGGTTTGTTAAAGAAATGTCTGTTACAGAATAAATATATATAGGTTTTAAAAAAAATACTCTACTGGACAGTGCTCAATCACGGGGCTTTGCACTGTCCAAGCAGGAATCTGCTGAGTTATAAAACGCAAGCTACACAATCACAAATAGTATTTGGACTCATGTATGTTTGGGGGACACAACTGATAAAGGGCTAAAAAGCATCTTTTTAGATGTACTGTCCTTTAGGGTTTTAACTGCCAAGTGCAGACATGATAACCCAGCCCCATTGCACAGGCAGCAGCTTATCTTCCCTGCAGAATGCCCATATTCCCGGCGCACATACCTCTCTCTTATGTTTGCATCCATTTGACAGATGATTGTTGCATTTCCTAGGCTGCTCTATGAAAGTCTAATAGAGAAGCACTTGTAGCCCTCCACACTCCACCGTCCTGCTGCCTCTGCCGGAGGTTGGAGGGGGGGTGGGAGAAGAGGAGAGAGCGTGCCGGCTGGGAGGGGCACCCAAGCTGCCTTCTGGGAGATGTAGTCTTTATACAAAGGGACTATTCTGTCTGCCTGCAGTGAGGCAAGAGAGAGGGTGGGGGAATGGGTTCTGTTCAATTTAAACCACACACTAGCCATTTACTCAGTCCTCTCTGTTTAAGTAACAACAGCAATGAGTCACTTTTTCCACTTTTCCGCTCCAAAATGTTCCTCTAGCTTTCAGTGTGGGCTGGGGGGGTCTCCCACTCATTCAATAATATTCCTGTGGGTAGCAGTATTACAAAAACCCAAGCACTCAATAATCATGAGTCAGGCTCCCAAAACTTACGAGATTTAAAATCATGAGATTAAAAATAAGAAAGTAAATGTTGGGTTCCTTTTGGGTTCTGAGCCCTTGGGGTTCATGTTTCAAGCTTTTCTCCACAGCCAAGAAAGGACTCCCAGAGCTGAGACGTTAAGAAAAACAGCAAACATCATAGGACTCATGATAAAATCACAAGAGTTAGTGATGCTCTGACAGACATGGTTACCTCTTGGTTACACACTCTCTGTATCAGGGTAAAGGACAGTCCCACCCATCATGACTGCCCCATCATGCACCAACCTGTTTTGCTGGTATGGACAAATAATATCTTATTCTTCCCTGGAGCAAGGGGGGAAACAGGGAGGGAATCATGCCTTTCTGAGGCACAATTCCTTCTCTGAGTCACTTCTGATGCAGTGCATCACCGCCACCCTATGCACAGGTTATATGGCAAAGCTGCAGTCCAGCCCTTGATGTTGTTTCTGGTTCCCACTTTGGTGGCTGTGGCTAGTAAAGGGTTAACAGCATTTTTTTTAAAGAATATAAATTATTGTTGTGAAAGATCTGAGGTGTGGAGGTGGAAAGCAGAATACATAGCAACACATAGTCTGCACACACAAATACAGCTGGTTAAAAGATTAATCAAGCGAGGACGGGAAATAAGCAACATTTGTCACACAGAAAGGACAACATGGAGTAAGAGACGGGACCAATGGACATATAATGAGACTTATGATGGTAGCACAATAATAGCCTGGATAAAAAAATAATCTGCTTTAAAGAGATAACTAGGCCTGGCTGTAGGAATCTACTACTGCATCCAAATGCAATAGACTGACAACACAGAGGACTGGATTCTCCATTCTGACCAAACTGTGCTCAGTAGGGATGAAATGTGTACGTGATTTAAAGCCTCCTGTGCAGCTCTCATAGTCTCAGCAATGGTTTTTGCCTGACCAGGCCTGGTGCAAATCAGAGCAACCTATGCTCCGCTGTGTGGTGAATTGAAAACTTAGATTTGGAAGGGGTTTCCTGGTCCAACTTGCAGACTAGGGAGCTCCATGATCTGAGTCTTTCAGCAGTCAGGCTGATGAATTTTGCCTCTATGCTTGAGGGAGCAGTCAGCTGTGTCATCCTCTGTTTAGAGGCTCTTCTGTGTTATCATTCTGAATTACAAAAAATAAAGTAGTGCTACTGTTGTATTTGTGTGGTGAGGAACACATGTGAATCACTCACAGTGAGCTGTAACAATGAATTCTCTTATTTTGTTTTTGTCACTAACAGGAAAACCACAGATGAATTGCCCCCAAGCAAGGAGGAAGCTGAACTGAACCCTGAGCGATTCCCTTCCTCTCTAGACAACAACTCACGGTTACTAACAGCAGTGCCCCTGGTGAGTGGATTCCCCTACATAAAACTACAGCACCCCTTATGCACACATAACGCATTAGGCAAAATACTCGTGCAGCCATCATGGGTGTTCTCTAGGATGCTTGGCAGGGCCGGTGTCTTTGGTGACTGTGATTTAGCATGAACCCCTGGAGAGACAGGAGTGTTGTCCCCTTTGAGTAGCAGCTTCGATGAGCTTGTAGTGTCAGCAGGGCCGGCTCCAGGCACCAGCCCAGCAAGCAGGTGCTTGGGGCAGCCAAGGGGAAGGGGCAGCACGTACGGCTCTTCAACGGCAATTCGGCAGCGGGTCCCTTGGTCCCTCTCGGACAGAAGGACCTGCCGCCGAAGAAGAAAGCGGGGCGGGGGAGCTACCGCTGATCGCGATCGCGGTCTTTTTTTTTTTTCCTCACCGCTTGGGATGGCAAAAACCCTGGAGCCGGCCCTGAGTGTCAGAGACTGGAGGCGGTAATGAAGAATCGATGGTTTGCTCTAGAGGATGCATATCTGAAGGCTCCTCTGGAGTAACATTGCTCAGAGATGAGCATCTTCTCAGCTGGTTGATGTGGCGATGCCAAACTTGTCAGTTGGACCTTGTATGAGATGAGACCAGTGACCTTGATGATTGTTGAAGTAACCCACCATGGCCCAGCTCTGTAACTTCTAGCAAATTTCTTGTGATGTGAAGGAAAGCAGGGTAGATGATGACAGGGAATTTGAAGCCTGATCCTGCTTGCATTGCAATTTCTCAAATAGGTTGGGGTTGAGACAGTTGAAGCATGTCTTAAGACGTCATCCCATAAGTAGCTCAGCTGGGCTAGCTCTGGTAGTTGGGCATGGAGTAACATGTTGAGTGATGAGGAACCTAGCAATTCTTGTCGGCCAGTCTCCTTCGATGAGCCTCATTATGGCATCTTTGGTTGTCTGCACCATCCATTTAGTCTGACCATTTGCTTGGGGCGGCGTGGTGCAATCATGACAGCTTGAATGAGATTGCTTTTGGTGAAGTCCTTGAACTCATCAGAGATAAAAGCAGTTCTGTCAGACACGACAGAACAGTATCTGGTAACCCATGAGTTGTGAACATTTGACATTGAGCAGTGATCATTGCAGTAGGCATTTGTGATGAGACAAAGAACACTTCGAGCCATTTCAAGAAAGAGTCTACTACAGACAGAAAGTTTTTTCCCTGAAAGGGCCCCAGGAAGTCAATTTGGATTCTTGACTTGTTTCTTGGTCACTTCCCAGGGAAACGTTGGGACTTTTGGTGGGCTTTTCATTTTTTTTATCTAACTTCTCCATGTGTATACCAACAATCCCTTAAGCTGTGTACATGCATGGCTGTACAGCAATCTGATAACTACTGTGCATCTCACGTGGCTGAGAGTGCAGCCAGTCTCCCCACCCACCCACACAATTCCTATCCGCACCAGGGACTGGCCAGAAGCCTCAAGCCAGCAGGAAGGGGTAAGGAAACGGGTGGGAAAGGCAGGAGCTCTGGAGGGAGCTCAGCCAGCATCTGGTCCCACTTTGCCTGCTTGGCCCTCATGCTGGAACCCGCAGCAGCTCCTCTTAGTGCCATGGGAAGCCATAGCCAGCAGGGAGGGGTAAGAAGCAGAATGGGGGAGGCAGTTGCTATCCTGGGGTGCAGGGAGCCAGCTGTGCAGTAGCATCTGAGGGCTGGTAGTACTGAAATGAACCCCTAGTAGCCCAGCAGCACAGGGGGAGAGATGGGGGAAGAGGGAACCTGTACTGCTGCTGATGCTGGGCAGGGATGCCTGGTCCCTGTGCTCCTGCCTGCTCCGGCCTGCAATGGCAACTCCCTCCTAGGGACCCTCGGGGGAGGGGAGAAGGGACCCTCGGGGGAGGGGAGAAGGTCTGGATGTAGAGCAGAGGGAGAAAAACCCTGAAATCCCTTCCCACAGCACATGGTCCCACCACTGGGTGCCTGCAGTGTTGGAAGTTTTGTCCATATGTATGGATATATATAAAGTCACTGCCTGCTACTCTTAATTTCCCACTTCAAACCATTTATGCC